ATTCTTTTTTAAATAATCCTCTTGTTTCCATTTTCATTTTGATAAGCTTCATGTTATATGGTCATATGCACCTAGTTATTGAGCTATTTTGGTCCTCTGCTAAGAATACCGTAGACATATTCTAGTTGTTACAAATGAGTAACCATGTAGCCAATGTTTCTTTGAGTCTGGCTTGCTTTGCTTAATATAATTTTTTCCAAGTCTTTCCATTTCCTTACAAATATGGCAATGTTGTTCTTTCTGATGGAAGCATAGAATTCTATTGTACATATATATACATATATATATATATATATATCACATTTTCTTGATCTGTTTATCTACTGAGGGGCATCTGGATTGGCGCCATATCTTAGCTATTGTAAATAATGCTTCAGTGAACATGGTTGTGCCAGTAGCTTTAGTGTGGCCTTGTTTGTGGTTATTTGGGTAAATGCCCAGGAGTGGGATTTGTTGGGTCATAGGGAAGCTGTATATGTAGTCTTTTGAGGAACCTCCATACTGCTTTCCACATTTGCTGAATAAGTTTGCACTCCCACCAACAGTGTAGTAGTGTTCCCTTTTGGCCGCATTCCCTCCAGAAACTTTTATTGTTAGTTTTCTTGATAATGGCCATTCTAACTGGGATAAGGTAGAATCTCAATATTGTTTTGATTTGCATTTCTTTTATGGCCAGAGATATTGAACCTTTCTTCATGTGTCATCTATTGGCCAGTAATTCTTCAGAGAAGTCTCTCTTTTTTTTATTAATAAGTTTTTTATTGTGAAAATACGGTACTGAGAGGTTACAATAATATGTGCAAGGTGATGAGTACATTTCTTATCAAGCATTGTTGCCTCCTCCTTTGTTTTCCCCTTACCATCCCTGCCCTCCTATCTCCAGGACTACACTCCCCTCTCATCCCCACTCCCCCCTCCACCTCCCTCCTACCAAAATTGTAAAGTTCAGTTTTAGACATAGCATCTTATACATTTCATTGTTGCAATGGGTCCACCTGTATCCGTATTTAAACCATTTATTTTTTCCCTTCCCCTCCACAAATTATACCAACATCAAATACAATGAAAACAGGGGTTATACCATGGGGGAGGGACATACAAAACAAAAAAAAAAACTACCTTATAAATGTGTTAGAAACAATAGCAAGAAAGAAAAACCACTTGAGTCCTTATCTTTGGGTTCATTTCGGCTAACATCAACTTATCTGCCCTTTTCTGATTATCTCATGCATATACTATTATTGCAAAGAACGGAAACCATGGGGCCTATCTTTTTTGGGCCTGGCTTACTTCACTTAAAATAATTTTTTCCAAGTCCTTCCATTTGCTAACAAATGGGGCAATGTCATTCTCTCTGATGGAGGCATAGAATTCCATTGTGTATATATACCACAGACCTATAGCCATCTAATCTTCAATAAGGGAGCTAAAAAAATAGTGTAGAAGAAAGACAGCCTCTTCAGTAAATGGTGCTGGCAAAATTGGTTAGTGACTTGTAGAAAACTAAAGCTAGATCCTTATATATCACCCTGCACCAGAATCAACTCCAAATGGATCAAAGACCTTGGAGTCAAAGCAGGCATCCTGAAAACATTACAGACAGAATAGGAGAAACCCTAGGGTTCCTTGGCACAGGCCGAAATTTTCTTAATAGAGACCCAGAAACACAACAAATCAAAGAAAGGTTGGACAAATGGGATTCTTGTAAATCTTTATCCCACTTATTAATGGGGTTATTGTTTTTTTTGAGGATTTGTTTATGGAGAGTTTAATTTTTTTTAGATATGAGACCCCTACCTTTGTATAGCTAGTGAAGATCTTCTACCATTCTATGGGCTATTTATCTTGCTACCTATGCCCTTTGCCATGCAGACACTCTGCAGTTTAATGTAATCCCATTTATCCAGTCTTTCTTTGGTTTGTTGTGCTTCTGTATTTTTATTTAGGAAGTTTCTGTATCTTTATTTAGGGTTCCTGTGCCAAGGAGCCTTAGTGTTTCCCCTATCCCTTCCTGTAATCTTTTCAGGGTATCTGGTCTTACAATGAGGTATTTGATCTATTTGGAAGTGATTCTGATAAAGGGTGATATATAAGGATCTAACTTCAGTTTTCTACACATGTACAGCCAATTCTGCCAGCACCATTTGTGAAGAGGCTGTCTTTCTTCCATCTTGTGTTTTTGGCTTATCAAAAATTAGGTTGCCATAGGCCTCTAGGTTTATTTCTGGGTCTTCAACTCTATTCCATTGGTCCTCAGGCCTGTTCACGTGCTAGTACCAAGCTGTTTTTATAACTATGGCTTTATAATAGAATTTGAAGTTTGGTTTTGATATTCCTACAGCACTGTTCTTTCTACTAAGGATTGTTTTTGCTATGCAGGGTCTTTTATTATTCCATATGAATTTTTGGATTGCTGCTTCTATTTCTTTAAAGAATGTTGTTGGGATTTTGATGGTTTATTGCATTGAATTTGCAGATAGCTTTTGGCAGTATTGCCATTTTCACAATGTTTATCCTCCCAATCCAGGAGCATGGGAGATTTTTTCCACTTCTTTAAGTCTACTTTAATTTCCTTTTTCAGGTTTTTAAAGTTTTCATTATGGAGTTCCTTTACATCTTTGGTGTGCACATGATTAATGCAGTACCTGGCCCAGACTAGGTCTTGGTTGATATGTACTGAGCTTAAATATGTGCAGAAAAAGAAAGAAAGAAAAATACAGTCACATGGGCCTCAATTCTTGTAGCCTGTCACTGATCGTAGAACCCAACAAAAGAGGGCCATGTCAGAAAATGAGGAACTGCTGCAGCTACTTAAGGACTAATGAAAGATGCGACTATGGGCAGAAGAAGTAGGAAGGAGAGAAGGCAGAGTTCACCACAGCCGTGAGAGATCACAGAATTGTCTCATGTGATTTCCGGAGTGGTTTGCAGTAAAGACTGCAGCTGAGGGCCAATGACTTGTGCCCCAGTTTTCCTGCCCTGGTAGCCAGCAGCTACTGATGTTGTAGGATACCAAGAGCAGTAGCCAAACGGGAGAGATGAGGTGCTAATCCTTAGATTATCCAGACTTCCGTGTGTGTGTGTGTGTGTGTGTGTGTGTGTGTGTGTGTGTGTGTGTGTGTGTGTGTGTGTGTGTGTGTGTGTGTGTGTGCATATAAATCTGAAGAAGATACAAAACCAAGTTGACCTCTAAAGCAAAGATCTTAACACTATGGGAAACAACACCTCCTTCTACAGTAAATACTTTAAACATTCCTTCTCTCTGCTGAAGTGAAACTTGTGAAGAATAGAACCTGAGTAATTAAAGAAAAAGATTATCCTGTAACTGTAATATAAAGAAGAAATAAATGGAAAATAGTCTCTAACAAAGTAATACATGTTTCAGTATCATATAGACAAGACGATACTAGAAATACAGTATCTTGTTCCGGATACTAGAAATACAGTATCTTGTTCCTATTCACAGTGGACATTTATGTTTAAAAGGAATAAAACATTGAGCCAAACATTGTCAACCTTCTTCACATCTGAGTATGAGTGTGTATTCATATCACACATATGGACATAATTTCCATGGCTGTAGTAGCTAAAAAGGTAGCTACAAACTACTAGCTAGACCAGTTGGGGTGTATTTCACAGGAGAGGCTGGTATCCTGAGTGGCATTAATTTTGCTTCTATGAGTGGGGACCATTCATGAGTAAGGTTCCAAATAAAACAGTACAGGGATTTCTTAATGTACCTGATTATTTACTCCTGGAACACTCAGTATATTTTAAGCAGTTAGATTCAAGGTAAATTCACATTAAAGCTCAACAGACACTTAAAGATCTTTGGGCTGATGGTGTGCGCCAGTGGTAAAAATAAAATTAAAAAAAAAGAATGTTTAACTTGCACAAGTCTCTGGGTTGAATCCTTAATGAGAGAGAAAGAAGAGAAAGGGAGGGGAGGAAAGAGTTGTTGGCCAATAGACAAATCTTTCAATAGACAAATCTTTCTGTGGGACTGTCCAAGGCATTGTTACATGTATCTAAGGATAGCCTCCAGTCATGGTCATAACTGAAAATGTTCTCCCAACTGTCGACAATACTTCTTTACATCAGAACCTCAAAAGGATGTGAAAATTGAGGTGAAAACATGATTGAGATACGTGTAGCTGTCTTGAAGAATTAGTTTTTGCAGAACTCAAAATTGCCAGAATGCCTACTTGATTTCTTTGGCCACACGTTTTGTAAACCTCTAGGATAAAAACCTCCATCTTTTGTGATCACAGATTGTCTTTATAAATTTCAGGCTCTGAGTTAGGTTTTCTGAGGGTGTCCTGTGTCATACTGTCAGCTTTGTATGCGCCCTTAGTCACCTTCCTGTGACTTCAGAGCATCGATTTTTATTGCAATTTTCTGTGCCTGCCTGTGTCTCCTAGCCACGATAGTACATTACTGAGTTTATCTAGGTGATTTTCTGGTCTGAGTCATGGCTGAAAGTTAAATGTCCCTTAGCAGTTCAAGCCACCTGTTGTAAGGGTCTGAGGATGTAGGCCAGTGGCAAAGTACCCACATAGCATGCACTAGGCCCTGGGTTCGCTCCCCTCACCACCAGAAAAGAAAGAGGGAAAAATGGAGGGAGGGATAGAAGGGAAATCAACAATAGAGACCTAGGGGAAAAGAAGGAGAGGGAAGGGGAGGAGTGTGGAGGGAATAGGGCCAAGGGGAGGGGGGAAGGAAGAGGAAGAGAAACTTCTATAATGCCTCCTTTTACCTGGTTGTGACATTCTCTTATCCCCAAATGGGATTCAAAACGTGGAACCACCACTGCATTTTGTATTTTTTTTAAATATGCTTGTTTGTCAAGAGGTGTTGATGGTGGAAGGGAAGGATAAGAATGTCTGTTACCTGGGAAGTACAACTCAGTACCATAAAAAGCATAACACTTCATCTAGCACAGAAGGTTCTTGAAAAAAATCAGTGTTTGTGAAATGGAGGTGTTATTTTTCTCTTCCCAGCTGACATCCCAGCATCCTTATGCTGAAGTATTCATCGGCCGGCCCCACGTCTGGACTGTGGATCTCAACAACCAGGAGGAAGTTGAGGATGCGGTGAAAGCGATTTTGAACCAGAAGGTTGTTGCTTTTATTCCACCATCCCCTAATGTGTACTATGATCTGGAATATGTTGAAAGAGCCACAAGCCTTTAGTTTCAGTGAATAGATCGTTTTCACATTAGCTGGAGTCAGGAAAGAAACACAATGTAGGATGTGGTCTGGAGACTTCCTGAATGTTCTGTGAAATGGAAAACAGAGCTGGTTCCACATGTGGACATGGTTTCTCCAGACCCTGTGGACAGGCTCCTGGGTCTCAATCTAATTATGTCACACATAGTGATAGGAAAAGAGAGGCTTTCCACTTTTACTTTACCCACAGGGAGGGTGAAAATGGAGGAGTAAGAACTAGTGGAGGAAATGCTGTAAAATGTTATAGAGCATTTGTTTATTCCTTTGGTAAAACCATGTAAAAATGACTAAGTTTTCTAGACTCTTTTGACCAACATGCATTAATCATTCACTGTGCACACAGCATCCTCTAGCAGCTCTGGGATCAAGAGAGGCATTTACATCCATATGCAGAGATGAGTCTGGCTCTTCCATAGAAAGTATGCCATCCTGTATGGATTCTTATATATCAAGACAGCCATGATCTCTCATGTCCATGGAAGTCTCTAAGCACTTTTCACATATAGTTATAATCTGTGAACAGAAATATAAGAGATATGCTGTGAGGCTGGGCTGATAAACTGTGGATTTGGATTCCAATTACTAGCCATACTCCCTCCTCTTTAATGTAGAGTTAACATTACATACTTTTATCGGTCCCTTGTGAGATCATACATACAAGTGCTAAAATAAAGGTCTCCTTCACAGTGTTGCGACATTATTCTTATTTTTGTAATAAATACTCTTGATTTCCCCTAGACCATAGAACCATGAAAGTATCAGATATATATATGTCAAATATATCATATATATATATATGTATCTGTATCTGTTGTCCCTACAATATTTGCAGCCTTATGATTGGATGGATGGATAGATGGATATATGGATGGATGAATAGATGGATGGAATGGAATGAGGAAGGGAAAGAGGAATTGATGTTTGCAAACAAAGATGTACGTTAACACAAGGCAGGTAATATTCAATGCAAAAAAAACATGCAGAAGGTCTAGGAGGGGGGCTTTCTGGAGAATAATACATTTTGAGTAGAGTTTTCTAGAATGAGTAGGTGTTTACATAGTAAAACTAGGTCTAAAGTGTGGTGTACATAAGCAAAAGCAATAGAAAAGTATATATCCTGGAAGGAATTGCCAGTGTGCCACTCCTTGGGAAGGGCTTTGTTTCCCCTTGGAGAAATAGAATATGTTGACCCATTTGTGGACCACTGAACTGCCCATTTCAACTAATTCCTAGCATCTCCCAGAGATGCAGCATTATCCATGCTCTGCTCCCTTATAAATGATCTGGTTATTAGGCTTGAAATGGTGGTCAGCTTCAAACTATCCTTGGTGAAGAATGATTGGGAAGCTGAAGTAGAAGCAGTTCTGAGGTTATAGAGTCCAAAACTATGTGATAGACACAGTTTATCAAGCCAAAATCTAGCTGACGTGCATACTAGGTAGAGCACTGAGGGTAGGCCCGGAGTTCTGAATGTCTACTGTATTCATTCCATGGATCCTTTAATGCTGCACAGTTTAATTAAAACCCTAATCAACCTAATTCTATATTATTCCAACATTTACATAGGATCATTTAAAAAGTAATTATAACAATAGTTTATTCATAGAGTGACCTTGTTACAAACTTTATATCAATCTCTGTACAATTCTGTAAAGTGAGACTATATTCCTGTTTTATGGAAAAAATTAAGACTTGAAATAATTGATGTCACACAATTACTAATAGAGCTTAGATTCAAAGTCTAATCTTTTGACTAGGTTGTTAAGATAATATAAACTTTAAAAAGCATAAGAAATAAAGGGATAAATAAATGGGAAAGAGGAATGGGATAATGGAGGATGAAATGTGATAAATACAAAATCTTAAAATGCCTTAATATAAACAGGTAAGAAATTTAGTGTTAAATTTTCTCACATTTAGCTCCCAGATCTTTACATGATAAGAAAGAAAAAGAAAACCTGACCTATCTTTTAAAGATTAAACTTCCAATAAAACCAGACCTAAAGGTGGTCCAGATGTTGACTTTTTTTTTTACCATAGTTCAAAACGTTATAATGTACTAAAAGGTTTGGAGAAAAAAGGTAGACGAAGTATGTGAGCAGATGGGGAATTTCAGTAGAGAAATGGAGACTATTTTTTAAGCGAATGGAAAAATGCTAGAAATGAAAAATATGGTATCCGAAATGAACTCATTTCATAGCATTCTCGGTGGATGGTACACAACAAAGAAAAGAAATCAGTGAAGCTGAAGACTCATTGAGGAAATCACTCAAATTGAAACATAAAGAGAAAGGAAAGAATGTGTAAGATCTATGGCACAGTATTGAGCAACTTGGCTTACATGTAATTGGAATCTCAGAGGGGACAAGAATTATGTGGAAAAAATATTTGAAAAGACATTGGCTAAAAAAAAAATTTTAACGAATGAATGCCACTGAATTAAAGATCCTGGAGTTGGGGTCATTGCTCAGTTGGTAGAGCACTAATCAATGAGCAAAAGCAGCAGATACCAAATTCCAGTTCCATCTCAAATCTAAAATAATAATAATAAAGATCCTGAGAGCATGGTTACCCCCTTGCAGGTTGAATACAAAGAAAACCAGACCCAGATACATCCAGATTAGAGTGCTGAAGGCAAAGATAAGGGAAAAATCTTGAAAGCAGCTTAAGAAAACTTTATTACATTTAAAAGAATAATCTAAAGATAGCCAACTTCTCATCAGATATAATGGAGACTGTAAAGGGTCTCCAAGGACCAGAGCACAAGGGACCTTTAAATAGGCAATGAAAGGTAAGAATTCTGCATTTCATAAATAAGGAAGTTTTGAGCAGGGGAATAAAATGACCTACATCTGGGATCCTCCACAGAGAAGTTCTGCCTAACCCAGAAATCTATGGTTACAATATATACTTGGGTGAAAACCCTGGTCTTCTGGAACATTCAAAGATTATGTTTCCTTGAATACTAAACCACTCCGTCAGTTGGGAGTCATTCAGGGTCTCCTTGATCTCTGGGAGAAATTCCACATGAGAATTGTCCTCTGATTTTGAAGGGTGAGTAGGTACAGTGGACACAGGGAGTCTCACAAGAAGGAAGGTCAAGAGGAGCAGGTAGGAAATTCATAGAAAATTCCAAGCCCAGCAGAAACTCCACAGTGCAGCCTGCAGGCATCCTTCCTGTGACCTTGAGTTCAAGAGTAATAGGCCTCTTTCCACCATCAAGATGACAGGAAGGCTCCCTTGTCTTTTTGTAATGAGCCCTACTTGGCTTTCTCTGACTGGATGTGGTTTCAGTATTCCTTTTCATTCCATAGCCCAGGAGGCCCTGCCTTGTTTCTGAAGTACTGTCAGGCAGAAAACTTCTCTTCTATACCACTAGCTTACACAACAGCTCCTGCCTAGAGACATGCCAGTGCTGCTCTCCCCAGAGACAGGTCTGGAGGACTTTCCCACACAGAAGGCCCTGTTCCCACCCAACAGGATGGCCTACAAATGCAATTTCCTCCTGCCCCTCCCTACAAATAGGAAAGTTTTGTCAAGCTTCATATATTTTAACAGTGAACTGGTCCTAAAACAGTGAATGAGTCAGCATCCATTTGGTTTAACTGGGTGTGGGTTGGTAGGAAACCCAGAGAAGAGCTATTTTTCTGTAACTCACTTCTGTTTTCTAATGGATGCCCTTTGCAATATGTTGTGAGAATGGCCCTTGAGTCTTCAGCCTGCTTCCCCAAACACAATTGAATCCGTTGCTCTCATGACAGCTGACCACCAATACTTGTCCTCTTACAAATGACCATTTATATGGCATGTCCTCTATTCTAAATCGTTTCTTTTCGTTCCTTCTGTAAACTGTTGAGAGCAGACAAATCTGTAGGCCAGTTATAGAGCACTTCTGGCATGAATTCACACCATAAATGGAGTGAATACCCTTTACAAGAAAAGAAAATTGTACCTTTTGAATGAGGAACTATGTGTAAGTCAGAGCCAGGCAAGTGCCAAAGCTTGCGATGGGAAGGAGCAAGCTGAGATCATGGAAGTTCTTTTTTCAAAGTGCATTGAGCTCTTCAGAGGTAGTAGTCTGACCTCCGTGCTTGTGCAATCATAGGCAAGTCTCCCCCATTATGACACAACTTGCCCTAGACAGATGTGAGCAGTGTGGCTGGACTCCAACCTGTTGATGCTACCTGCCTCGAGTTGTGTAGTTAAAGATAGGCTAGAAAGTTTTAAATGACAGTTTACTTTTTCAAACCTGACTCCACATACACACACAAATGAGAAAAACATGACACAGGACTGATTACTTGGGTGCCCATGGAAGAATGTCCTGACGGGGCTTCCATTCTCAGCCAGGCTCAGCTCCTAGATGTCCTCTGGTTCTCCTTGTAAATTTGAGATAGGTCAAAGGGGAGTTTGAAGGTGGCGCTCTCCCCTGTCACCAACAGGTGCTGTTGGTCTCTCTGAAGCTCTAATAGATGGATCACCAGTGCTTTTCTTCCAAATGCAGTTTCATTGTGCATTGGTGCACTTCTGAAGATACAGGCCTCAGAACATGCAGCAGAGCTCAAACCCACCTTTCTTCTCCCTCAGGTGTCTCAATAGCCATCAGAATGCCCCCTCTTTCATGAAGCACCTCTAGGGCTTCCTGCTCCCTCACATAAAATCCAAGCTCATAAAATTGAGGCTTAAAAATCACAAGGCTTTTGGGCAACCCCAGTGAGACTATCTACCCAGTTTCCACAATTCCCGTAGTCCTAAGCTCCAGCTTTCCCTGTCTTTTTCTATCAAATCTCACAATGCTTACTCAGCCAACAGGTCTTCTGCCTCTTAGCTGTCACCAGTCTTCATTTTCTGGACTCATAGCTAGCTTTAGAAGTCCACCATGAGCAAAAGGCTGCTTTGTTCTGTAGCAAGGGCTCTCTGGGCACATGCTCATCTCCCCTACTAATGTAGACCAATGCCATGTCATTCCCATGGGTCCTTAAACTGCTCTTCGTGTGCCCTTTTCAAAAGTGGTGACCATGTGTTTATTCAACAGGTGTTTGCAAAGTTCCCAGATGTACTTCTTCAACACTGGGACACAGATGATTTATGCCATAGTCTAGTGATACCTTACGCTGAATGCCTTCTTTATGGTAGATCCTAACCCATGCACTTTTCCCCCTGTATTCTTCACTACAGTTTAAAAGAAGAAGTGCCAGTGGCTCATGCCAGTCATCCTAACAATTCAGAAGGCTGAGGTCTAAGAATCATGGTTTGAAGCCAGGGCAGTAATGTCTATGAAATTCTTATCTCCAGTTAATCACACACACAAAAAAACAAAGCAGAGGTAGAGCTGTGGCTCAAGTGGTAGAGTGTAGCCTTGAGCAAAATAGCTCAGGAATAGCGTCCAGGCCCTCAATTCAAGCTCTAGGACTGACATTAAAAAAAAAAAAAAGGAAAGAGTTCTTGACACCTATGTATGTATGAGGGATTCTGAGACTTAGAGACAGTAAATAGTTTATTCATAGAGTCTGTATTTAGGGAAAACCACAGTGAAGCTCTGAGCCTTGACTGTTGGCTTTCACATCTGTAGTCCTATCTGCTGCTGAGGTGATCTCCAGGCATGCGCACCTGTGCCTGCATAGTCAGTAGAGGACTGGTATGTGCCAGACATCATGAGCTATGTTCTGTTCCCACAGATCGAGCCGTACATGCCGTACGAGTTCACATGCGAGGGGATGCTGCAGAGAATCAATGCTTTCATTGAAAAGCAGGTAAGGCTCAGCAGAGGTCCAGCCTTGGTTTCTGTGTCCTGTTCAGGGTATAGCACATGTCTGTCATTTTCCTGCTCTGGAAAATTCTAGAAGCTGGATAATGGCTTGTTGGAATTCTGAAAGCAAGAAAGAAGCCAGTCTTGGGGTGTATTGCTTGTGATGGGGTCAGGTCACTTAAAATAGAAATCAGAGATGGAGTCTTCCCTGCCTACCAGCTCCTATGCTCACAGTAGATTCTCTGGGGGCATCTACAGGAGTGGGAAACACCAGGGGACAGACAAACCATTCTTTTCCCACTGTCTTTATTTCTTACCCCTAGAAAGACAGGGACTGAAACCGCAATTTCTAAGCCTTCCTTTGATAGTATATAAACAGTAATTCTAAGCATATTAGGACTTCTTCGTGGTTTTCAAATGGAACCACTTTTCAAATGACATAAAGCCTCTGGAAATAAAACAGATAAAAACAGGAATTCAGTTCTAAAAGCAAGGGAGGTATCCACAGTCCCACTACCCCCAACAGGGTTTGGAAATGACAGCCCTACTCGTAAAAGGAAAGGCCTGCGAGCTCATTGCCATCCCTCTATAAAGTTTCAATTCCTTGAGCTTCAAAAGCACCACAGAGCTAGAAATAGACAGACTCGGGCCCCAAGGGCAGAGGAATCTGAACTCCTTGACCAGATTCCAGAAATAAGGGGCTCCCCCTGATAGGGCAAAGCAGAGTGTTTTAGGGTGATCAAGGGATCTAGACACAATGGGGAATGAGAACTATGCCAGCTGAAAATAGAAATTGTAAGTTGAATTTGGTTTTTTTTTGTTTTTTGGGGGGTTTTTTTTGGTCGTTGTGGGGTCTGAACTCTGGGCCTGGGCGCTGTCCCTCAGCTCTTTAGTTCAAGGCAAGTGCTCTACCACTGAGGCACCTTCCCAGCCCCTGTAGGTTGACTATTTTAAGTAAGTCTAGATTATGGGCCCAGTGGGGTTTCAAAGGAGAGTTGATGGTTTAAGAAAACTAAAGCTCTGGGGAATGAGCCCCAAGGCAGTGTGTCTGAGCGCCCGAATTTTTGATAACAGCACAGCATGGCCTACAGACCAGCCCCTGGACTCATCTCCCAACACTTTCTAATTATATGAGTGTGGGTATTAGTTACACCGCCTCTCTGTAAAATGAGGATAATAAAACCTTCATGCTCAGAGCAGGGCATGGCACATACTGCTTAATGAATGCAATCTAATTGCATTGATGTTTCAATCTATCGTGCTGCAGCATAGTATATCATAATAAATTATAACCATGTATATTGTAATATATATCACTCATCAGACTTTGCCATGATAGCTTAAATCATTGAGTCATTATCTCATTTAGTACATCATAACTCTGTTGACCATATTCATAGAGTCTATATACCAGAATATGCAGAATCTCAGTTCCTCCTCATCTTACAATTTCACTTTCTGAGCATTTGGATACCCATAATCAAGTACAATCCAGAGATGCTAAGTGGAAAATACCAGCACAGTGCAATAGTTTATTTCAAGAGAAAAAGAAATTATATCCACATAACTTTTATTATGCAGTAGTGTTATAATTGTTCTAGTTTATTTTTAGTTGAACTCTTTCTGTGCCTACTTAATAAATGGTGCCAGAGGTAAATGTGCATGCATAGGAAAAAGCCGTGGTGTAGAGGTCTGAACCATTCATGGTTTCAGGCAGATGTATAACATCTCATTCAATCTTCACAGTAGGACCAAGGTGGCAGCAGTAACCCCATTCTCTACATGAGAACTGAGATTCACAGTCTTGGGGCCCAGAGGTGGTGGAATCCAGCTTTGTTTCAGGTTTGCTGTGAAATCAACATTGATGGTATTTACCAAGAACTCAGGAGGTGACAGGTGTTCTGGGGTTTATCTCTGCCTGTGACTCCTCAGCCTCCCTGAAGGTATGCAGGACAGCTACTGGGCCTCATGTAGTGATAGGGAATAGGACATCTCAACCCTGGCTTCTGTCCATCTCAGTCTCTCTTGAGATCTCACCTGATCCTTTCCACTGTTTCCCGTACCGTCTTCTTCCTGAGGTCACATCCTCTCAGGTTACTCACTCACCAGTGTAAAGGGATTCTTAGGTTTATCTCACTGCTTTTGCTTTTTTCCTGGCTGAGGCTTATGCATACCAGCCAGTCCTGACAAAGGTCTCAGATCCTCTGTAAGCCTGTTGGTAAGTTTCCTTTTAGTAGAAAAAAAATTTGTATTCCCTAAGTAAACCTTGCTAGGTGCTTCCATCATGCAGGGGTTGGGCCTGTGTGTTCATCCCTAAGTCCCAGGTGCCTCACACCTGCCTGCCACAAAACAGCTCATCCCTGTTCAAAGACTGTGTAAGTGAATGAGTATGTGAGCAAATGCAGGCATGCTTTTTTTGCTCATGTGTACCAGGCACCAGAAGGCTGTTAGTGAAATTCTCTTCTAGAAAACACACATACGAATCTGCCCTGTTTTCCCCACCACCTCCTAGGACCAGGAATCTAGTGATTTCTAATGTGTAAAAGTTTTGTCTGTTGATTGATTCATGAGCAGATTTGTCATCTGGGGCATCTGTGGACTGTACAGGTAGTTGGGGAGAGGTGTCAGAGCTTCCCATTTCAGAGAAGACAGTGAATGTCACAGTAGTGCTGCCGCTGTAGGTTCAGGCTTCTACACATGATAGAACCCATATCCTTTGGGTTCACATTGCCTGGCATGCAGGATGAGGAAGAAAGAGGCAGGAGAGGGTATTTGAAGGTTCCTCACAGGAAGTTAAGTCTTAGGAGAGAGGAAGGACTGGACAAGTTGAAATGCCAAAGACCCAAAAGAAAGATAGCTGTGACTGTTAAGGTACATAGCTATGACTGGGAAGGGTAAAGCGAGAAACAAGACTGCAGAAGGAGTCAGAGGGCAAGAAGATGCCCAGCCTTGGCTGAAAATTCTTTCTTTATTTCTGGGATAACAAGAAGCCTAAGCCATATTCTGCCACTGAGTTTGCAGTGTTGTCAGTCGGTATAGACTATTGGAAATCTTGTTACAAATTGGTACTGGGGGGCATTTCTCATAAAACGTTCTTATCGTGCTCCTACATTAGCAATAAAGAGGGACTTGAATTCTCCTGGACCCCCCAATGTTTCCCTGGTGCCAGAGGCATCCAAGACCCTATTGGCTCCTAGAGTGGGTCTTCTATTAGCCCCAGGCCTCAGGATTTTAAAGCTTAAAGCATTCATTATTTCTACAGCTAGCAGAATATCTTCAAAGAGCAGTGGAGGATGGAGAACAGGGCCCTTTAGGCAGGAACAGGAAACCCTGCAGTCTGGAGAAGGCACTTCCTGTGCCCAAAGCTGTAGGAGCCCCTGAGCTCATTAACCCGATCTCAGCTTCCAGAATCCTCCATGGGACCACAGGAGCTTTTACCCAGTTCCCTTTCAAGGTCATCCCTCATGCCCTGCCCCCACAGCAGCAGGAGACTGAGGAAGCCAATTGGCAGCAAGTAATGGAGAGCACCCCCCAGGCTCCAGTGAACAGTTGAACAGTTTCTGCAGGAAGCCTGCCCAGCCAATTTGAGCGCATGCTCAGTGGGAAGGAGTCTGGGCTCCTCAGTACCCGCCCCCCTGGGCTCCACCCTTCCAAAAACAGTCCATACCTTTTACCGAATCACTGGTGTGCCTGGCACTTTGAAATAAGCTCTCTCAAAGGGCACTGCCTCCAGCACCGGGAGAGTCAGTGCCAAGGCAAAAATCCCTTGTGATGGAAGATCAAGCATGATTATTCCCTGACCTGAGTGTGTCCTAGCTTGTTAAGATTTGCATTATGCATTTCTTGGGGAAGTTATGTATTTGCCTCCAGCCAGAGAACATAGCAGGTTCTTTGGAAGGAATGGCAATGTTCCAGTTGATTTCTGAAAAACCACACACACAGGCTCTTCAACCCTATTTTCTGCTTCCTATAAGGAACCTTTCAGTATACAAGGATGGTCAGTTACAGTCAGAAGGTTTGTAAAGAGCTGTGTAAATTTGTGTGAAAAGCATGCTGGAGATACAGAGAGAAAAAAGGAGTCAACTCCCAGAGCAGCAAGAGAAGAGAGCTCCCGGGCTCATCTTGAAATGCCTAAGGCATGTATAAGTTAATGTTGGGATTCATCTGTGCTGTAGTACTCATCAGCAAGGGCAAACTTGTCAGTGAATCTGCAGAGTCTTAGGGAAGGAAATGGTAGAGGTGACAGAGCTGCCGGGAAACAGAGTAGGGCATTGAAAAAGGAGAAGATGGGCACTAGCAAGAGAGGAGTCTTTGCTCTTGAAGCAGTGGTGGCTGCTTACCCAGCCCTTCTGGCTCAGACACAGGCTGAGTCATGATGAAGCAAGTCTGGATACTGATGTCTGGCTGGCTTGCATCTAGTTCCGATGCCACTGTCTCTGACCTTGGGCAGATTCCCAAGTCTCTCCTATTCAGTGGAGATAACAATGTCCACTGCATAAGATTGGTGCAAATGCTAATAAGCATTGTAGTGGGCCCAGGTAAGTCCTCTGAACACTTTAGCAATTGATTGCTGTGGGAGCCTTGAACCCGTCAACCAATGTGTGTTTCTCAGACAGCTTCACTTGGTGTAATTTACAGACCATAAAATTCGCTCCATGTAAGGGTGCAACTAAGTGAACTTTTTAAGCAGGGATATTGAGGTACAACTACTACCTCAGCCTCGTTTTGCAGCATTTCCTTTGTTCCCGGGTGATGCCTGGCAGGTGCTCTTGCTCCTGCCCCGAGTTACAGGAAACCACTGATTGGTTTTCTGTCTCTCTAGATGTGCCTTTTCTACAGATTTCTGACTTCTTTCACTTAGTATAGTGTTATTGACCTTCATCTGTGCTGTAGCACTTATCAGAAGTTACCTCATTGCTGAATAGGATTCCGTGGTACACTTGTACCCCGAAGTTTTTCCAGTTACTGGCTGGCAGACTCTTGGGCTATTTCCACATACTGCAA